CCAATTATTACATTTCTTATTTTTATTTATATTTTATTATTATTATTTTATTTCTTATAAATAGGGTATCTTTAGAATTTCAATAACATAGGAACTTATAAGTAGAAAATTACTTTTAGTACTATTGTCAACAAGATAAATACTAAACAAATTTGTATGCTAATAAATATACTTGTAATAATTCTTTTCTTTAATAAAATTCTAAATTACTTAACCCACAAATTATACTTTAACCTGAAATACATTTGATCGATAAACCTTCAGAAGCTTTCCATAAATCGTATTATAAAAGTCTTAAAGCTAAATCCTTTGTTAATCTTGCGTTAATACTAATTTTCAGTTGTTAGTATCGTAAGATAACAATGCGATTAAATACATGGTTTTTGTTTTCATAATTATACACATAAAAAAATTGCTTTTGCATAATTATATATTAGTTAGCCATTAATCGTGTTTAATACGAATGATATATATTATTTAATTGTAATAATAAATTTCTATATTGGTAATAAATGTATTAGTCTGAAAAATAAGAAAAAACAAGTATGGTATGGTAAGCTATGTATGTATATATAGTCATGTATGTTATGTATACAGTACAACCTTTTGATATTGTATGATATTATACTTGTTTCACAATACTGTAAAAGGAACATTTTTGATCAAAAAAATAATAATTAGAAATATATTATTTCAAATACTTTTGATGTATTATCATTTAATTAATGTGATCAAAAAAAATAATAGGAAATAAATTCGTTTCATTTTAATTTAATGTAATCAAAAAAAAAAAAAATAGGAAAATAAATTCGTTTCAATACTTTAATTAATTTGTATAGTATATTGATGTATTATTATTTTAATTAATGAGAACGAATTTTAAATAACATAAAAATAAGGAAAAGGTATTATTTGAGAATGTATAAATATACATGAGTTGATTCAATAAATTTGTTCTACAAAAAATGGCTGAAATCATTTAGACTTTTGAAGCAATAGAAGATTTAATAAACCTTCACCAAGAATTTAATAATGAATTTGAAAATGCTCTTAATACAGAGCATGCTGCTATCTGGCAAAGAATAGTAGATAAAATTAATAATGATCATCCAATTCAAATCAGTGGCAGACAATGTCAAATAAAATGGAATGCACTGGTTCACGGTTATGAAAATTGTAGGCGATGTGACGGTTAAAAATTCTACTTATAGAATTTTTAAGAATTTCTAAGTTAATTCTATTTTCTTGCAGATCAAATTGT